TGGTTAAAGTATTATATATATGACATACAACACAGTTATTTACTTTACATAGAAAAAATTAACATCGAGGGTGATACAACAAACTTATATAAGTAGGTGGTCGACGTAAGGCCCGACATACAGCATCACCAGTTATTCTAACTTCAACTAAATTGATATTATTATGAATGATAGGTTTTTTAGAGTTTAGTAGGAAAAATCTGAAAACCTGGATTTGCTTTTGAAACAGTACTCGTTTAGTGATCTATTCACAGCTACTTTTTTGATCTTAAGACGAATAAGAAGCGAGTAAAAAAACTTTTATTAATTAAAGAGAGTTAATCTATTTTCTAGTGTGATTATGGTAATTTCAACTTGTAAAATGTTAAAAGAAAAAAGTCATTAGAGATCACATCAGGTAAGTAAGGTGATTTGTCTATTATATGCTATAAATGTTTTGATGCTGAAAAGTATATATATAACTACAAACTATCTAGTGTTAAGACACTGCATAAGTGATCATACTCTTATCTCGCGTCGTAACATGGAATAGTGCTACCAACATAAAGGAAAAAATAGTGGTGGTATTTTCAAAGCACCTATTTCAAATTATAAATTTTGTATACTTTTAGACCAAATATATATATTTTTCACATTCCAAGAATACTTAATATTATCAAGCCCATTTATTAGTGTTTACTCTTCAAATATTTTTATTGATATTTGTTTGATATAAATCTGAGCATTTCCTTGAAAATATCTTCTTTGAAATCTTTTATCTTTCTATAGAATCTATAAAATGAAGTCGCCGCAACTTGACAGGTTCGATAGTATTGCAACACTTCAAACTGTTTAGTTTCATATTTAGAACTATTATGGCACTTGAAACATAAAAATATCTTTTTGGAAACTAAACTAAAAAACATCAAAAACTATGAAGAAACAGAAATACTCGTCTACTTCACATTAATCGGTGCAATTAAAATTTTAGATATAAAACATGCCGAGTATTTCTAAGACTTTTATTTGCTTTCAAAGGCAAAGATCTACAGAATTAAAATATTTAGAAAAATATTTACTTTTAATTTCAATTGAATTTCAGTAATTCATGAAAATTAATTAATAAAAAAAATTTTTATATATATTATAAAGTTAGTAGGAGAATTCCAAGAATTTTATTGAGTTGGAAATTTTGGATTTTTATGAAACATTTTTAATTAAATTGAAAATATTTTCTTTTATAGATTTTATATATATTTTGAGTTTGTAAATTCCCTGATAGTGAGTACAAAGTAACATATATGCATTGTTATTTTTTGCAGTGTAATTGTAGGATTTTGCGTAATTGCTGCTGTCTTAAGGCTGGTAAAATACAAATTTCAAGTGCAAAAAGTCATAAAAATAATTTTTTTATTAATGGAATTAACAAGTTCGCTGGCTGATAAATTATAAAAATATTTTAGACTTTTAGGCTACATTGCAACTTTTTTTCTATTTCATATATAATTTAATTTAATTGTGTATTATTAATTTTTTTTAATTTTTTTTTTGGTTTTTGATTCTTATTGTTAAGTGTAGCAAAAATGTGTGAACGTGCTCGACAACATGACAACAAATTGCAAATTCTTATGACGTCAAAAATTGAGTTAAACAATTTTGTTATTTTGCACCTTTCGTTTCAATAATCAATTAAGAAATTTTTTTATCATTCGTTGGCATTGTAGGAATTTTTTTAAAGTATTTAAAGGTATTTAGTAAATAATAAATACAAATACAAAATAATAAATTATAAGAATCTTTAAGTAAAAATATCTTTACTATATAATAACATAATAAATGAACACTGATATATATATAGAATATCTATATCTAAGTAATTTGTATCTATAGGTATGAATATCTACTTTTTAAAAAAAAAATTCACCTACTGCTTCACCTACTAAATTTTTATATTATTAGTCACTCATACGTCCATGGAGATTTGTAAACTTTACGCAGTTAATTACTTGCGTCAAGCAAGTGGTGCGTAATAAAGTAAAACTCACTATTAAAAAATGTTTGCAATATATTAAATTATTGATATACAAAAAATGAACCAACACACTTCAGGAGCATATAAAACTTATCCTGGAGTATTTCCAGAAATAGAAAATAAAAATCAATAATAAAAAAATTAAAGCTCTGTTTATTACGCGTAAATGGAGACAGAATCCGTCGAGAGTGAGAATAGGAGATATGGTAGTAAACTGGGAGAATAGCATTAAATATGTAGGCATCACACAGTGGACAAACGATTCACATGGCTTAAACATGATCAATTGAAAAGAATTAGCTGTGCCAAAATTCTTCATCACCTTCACAACCACTATTTAAAAATGAAAATCTCAATGCTAAGAACAGGGAACTGATATATAACCAAATAATTCGAGCGTCACTTCTATATGGATGTGTAGCGTTTAGCAAAGCTTCAAACACTACTATTCGCTAGCTAGAAATTTCAAAAAGCCAGGCTCTGAGAAGACTTTTTAAGGTACCATGGTAGGTACATTAGGACGAATGACATCCTCAGGGATCTCAAGATTGATCCGATCAAAAAATACATAAAAGATAGAGCCCTGAAATTATTTGTGAAAACTGACAGACTTACTAACATAACGTTATCGAGTCTCAGAATGTTTACAAACACCTCGGGTAGGTCTGCAGATCTGAGTTCAATTATTGGTTAGTCTAGTCTGATGAAGTGATAAACAATAAACCAGTCAAGGCGTAGCGAGTGAATATGAAGAAACCTCGTAGGTTATAAAAAGTAGAAGTGCTTAAGTGCACTGACTCAACTAGCCTCAACATAATAATAATAATAACAAAAGCGTTCGAAAATTTT